TACCGCAGTCCACCTCTGAGGGACAAGGAACGGATGTGGGGGGGGGGGAGGAAAAACCACAGTTACCTCTGAGAGAGCTCGGGGTCTTTTGGAGAGAGAAACTTTAGAGCATGTGTGATCTGGCTTATGGGGATTTGGGATTGACCAGGAGAAAGAAATCCATTCACTCATTGCTAAATTCATTCACTTATAATAAATGTGCTTGGTGTTGGGTAGGATAAAAAATAAGCAAATGATCTGGGTTTTACTCCAAGGAGATCTCATACTTGGAAGACACCTCCTGGGACCAGAGGTTCTCTTGGGGAGAGGGCTTTCATTCAGCACCTTATGGCTCCCTGCTTTCCTTTTCCTCCTCCTCAGCCTCCCCACCCCAGCTAACTCCCTACTCTTCTTTTGGATAAAACCAAACACAAGCTTGGCTTAACAGGGCTGACTTTGAATTGTCTGGGATGGGGCAGATTAAGAGTAGGGCGGGATCCTTCATGGCTCCCTGTCTTTCCCTCCTTCCTCCTTTTCTTAGAACAGCTTCCATTTCTATGATATTTAAAGGTTTACAAAAAGGCTTTTGGCTCACAGCACCCCCATCTCCACCCCCATGGAAGGAGGGCCTCATAGGTGAAGAAACAGCCCCAGACAGAAGAGGTGACTTATCTAAGATCAGATAAGTGGGAAGCGGTGGAAGCTGAGACTTCAGGGATTCCAAGTCAGCTTTCCATGGTTCCCTTACCTCCTACTTCCCCCGGCTATAAGGGAGGTCTTTAAGGCAGTGTAGTGGGTCAAGGTTAAGAACCTGTGGCTCCCAGACTTGAGGGTAGGCTTTCTGCAGGAGTCCTCTCCCTGTACTCCCAGCTGCCAGTGCTTTCCCCTGTAAGATTGCCTTACTAGATCTATTTGACATGTACCTTCTAGGTGCCTAGCTACCATGTATTGTCTCTGCCTTGAGGGCAGGGCCTGTTCTTACTTTCCCCAGCACTTCCTACAATACCTGACATGTAGCAAATGCGTAATTCATTGTTGGGACCTTACCTGACTGGCAGCGTTTCCCAGTGTACCCAGCACGGCAGCGGCAGGTATAGTCTTTGCCAAGATCGTTGCAGGTGGCGCCATTTTCACAGGGGCTCATAAAGCAAGGAGAGGGAGCTGGAAAGGGACAGCCAGAAAGGACATGGAACCCACCCAGACCTCAATCTAAATGGCCTCAGTCAGGATCCTTATGGGCCATGCTCTGAAATGGACCTTGGGGATTGTGGCAAAACCCCACATCAGAGCATGCAACTTGGTGACATGGCAGTAGCTAGGCTGGGTCCACTCCGTTGTACATGAATCTCTGATGGAAACTATTGGAGGACCTCAGTCCATGGTGATGACTTCCATAGGTGGGAAATGTAGCTAGACTTTTAGAGGGCAGAATTCTGCCCCTTTCTCTAACTCTTCCTATAAGGACCTGGATAAGGACATGAATGGCTTGTCCATTGATGGACGGCACAAGGGAGAAAGGAAGAGATTCTGGATGACAGACTTGGGATCCAAAAATGTATCTGGCTGGAATAACAAGCTAAATCTGATGGGGATAAATCGGGAGTCCTGCTCTGGGGGCCAGAAAATCATTGCAGGTGACTGGGAGCTGAAGAGGCTTGCAGCCAAAGGGTAGATTGTGATGTTAGGCTGTGTGACTTGCGGTGAAAGCAAGTCATCATCCCGCTTTGCTGTGCCCTGGTCAGACCAGACCACCTCTGGAGCAGGGGTTCACTTCTGGGCCCCATAGTTTAAGAGAGACATTGACAAATGTTTAGAGGATGGTGACCAGGATGGTGAAGGGTCTCGAAACCACGCGATATGAGGATCATCAGTGGGAAGACCTGGAGATGAGATGTTTCATCTGAAGAAAATAAGGCTTGGGGAAAACACAACTCTCTCCAAGTTCCCTCTTGCCTCGAGGATAAAAGACAAACTCCTAGTTGACTTTTAAGGACATTCACAGTCTGGATCTGGCTTATCTTCCCAAACTTATTGCAAATTACTCTTCACACTTAATATTTTCCGTCCAAACTGACCAGTTTGTTGTTTCTCCACGTGGCATTTCATCTCTCATCACCATGCTTTTGCCCAAGCTATCTCCCATGTCTGGAATGCTCTCCCTCCTCACCTCCGTCTCATAGGCTCCCTAGCTTCCTTTAAGGCTCCACTCAAACACCACTTTCCACAGGAAGACTGCCATGATGGATCCCCCCAGTTGCTAGACTCCTTCACCCAGAAGTTACTTGGTGTCTATATTGTGTCTGTTTTGCATTTACTTTTTGGAATCCACACTGTTTTCCTCCAGTTGTTCATTACCCATTGAAGGCAGGGGCTATTTTGTCCTTTGTCATCATACCCACAATACCTAGCACAATGGCGGTACACAGCAGGTGCTTACTAAGTACTTATCATGTGGATGTGGAGGATGTGGAGGATGTGGAGGAGGGGCGAGGCCTCCTCACAACATTGAATGAGGAGTGTTGGGTGGAAGTTACAGATAGGCATATTGAGGCTTGATTTGAGGAAGCACTCCTTACATTGATGACTGTCCCCAAATGGAATATAGTGTTTTGTTTTTCCCTGCATGAGTTTGTGGAGTTCCCATCACTAGAGATGTTCAATCCAAGGATAACTGACCACTTGCCAGGGAGGCTGAAGAAGGAATTCAGGCCTCAGGCAGGTAGTGATCTCAGGGACCTCCATGGACCCTTCTCTTTGTGAGACCCTATGATTCTCTGCTTGGGAGAGGAACTTCCTCCTCCCTTCACATCCCTCTCTTCATATCCCTTCACGGGTCTAGTATCTTTCTGGAAACACACTTTGGAGGTAGTGAGTGGTCAAACAGGTGTCATGGACCTTGTCATGTGACTTGCCTCATAAAACTCCTTCCATCCACAGGACCTTGGAACTCAAATCAGCTGGATATGGGGCATGGCATACAAGTGTTCTCTGAATCTGAGGTTCTATGAGTCATTGTTTCTGAGATCTAAAGATCCAATCCCTAGGTAGCCTGAGTATGATCTACGAAGCCTAGTGTCAAATGAGAAATGTTGGGGTCCCCACTTGGCCTGCTGGAGCCCTGCCTCTACCTAGGGAAGAAGTTAGCTTCAGGTTTAGAGTCTTCACTGAGCACACTTGCCCACCTGGAGCTGGCTTCACATCCCTTACCTATTTCACAGTGCCGCCCTGAGTACCCTGGTGGACAGTCGCACTTGTATTTGCCGATGTAATGGAAGCAGGTCCCTCCATTCTGACAAGGGCCAGAGGCACAAGAATCTGGCTTTCCTGGAAACAGAACACAGAACATAACCAAGAGGAGTCAGCAGCTGTAGGCCCCCTGTGCCTTCCCAACCTGGACCTTCATTTGCTGGTCTCTGATGTGAGGGCCTTACCTATCTCACAGTGCTTCCCTGTGAACCGATAGGGGCAGCTGCATTGGTACTCCCCGTTGGACTCCTTGCATGTCCCACCGTTCCGGCAGGGCCCAGAGCTGCACAGTCTCGGCCTTACTGAGGAAAGAGAAGAGAGAGGAAGAGCCAGGCCCACCACCTGTGAGATGCTTCCTGCCTCTAGGCTTGGAATTGTTTTTGATCTCAGAACCCTGACCTCAACCAGAGGCTTTTTCTTGGGGAGGACATTTCCCACCTGAATCATGGCTCCCTTGGGTGTAGCTAGGGTCTGGACTTTACTGCCAGTAGTGTTGAGAATGAAGGTCACTTAAAGATGCCCCTGCAGAATTTGTCTTAAGTTTATATGATTCACTCTTTATGCTGTTTCCTTGGGGCATAGTTTGTGAAGCTTGCCCCAGGCATGAAAAGTACTGTTATGACTCTGGGGAAGGACTCCATTGCAGCCTCATAGTCACTGACAGCCAATATGGACCTGCTTCCTCCTTTCCCTCATCTTTTTAAATCTTTGGGAGGCCAATGGAGAGACCATCTGGCAGGTCTGTGTTGAACCTGGATCAAGCCCTGGGGTGACCATGGCAGTGCTGGGGCTACTTGGCTGGGGGTTCCTCGAGAATTCCTAGGGCCTGCAGTTGGACTGATGTGACTCTCTTGTGATGGTGCTTTGGGTGGTCCTTGTCTTAAATAGATGAGGAGGAAGGCCGCAGAGCTACTTGACTCTGGTCACACAGGTGGTCAGTATCAGGGGTGGGATCAGAATCTAGATCCTCTAAGCTCAGAACCAGTGCTCTGAGGACATTGAGGGTCAGAGGGCTGAGGTGACTTCCCCGTGGTCGCATGGATGGGCAGTGCTCAGCCCTTTATCAAATCACCAAACCTGTCGGGTAGTAGTATAAAGGGGGCAGTCTAGAGGGAGGATGAGCCTGGTGGCCATACCTTTCTCACAGTGCTTGCCATGGAAGCCTCGTGGGCACTCGCAGGTGTAGGAGTCATCATGAGCATCGCAGGAGCCCCCGTTGAGGCAGGGATCTGAGTCGCAGGGAGAGGGCAGAGCTGGGGAAGTAGAAACACCAGATGGTCAAATGTGCTTCCTTGCACAGCCTTCCTGAAAGGATGGCAAGCAGTGGAAGGGGTGCGCCCCTTATCTCCCAAGCGTGTGTATATCAAGATGTCTTCTAATCTGGGGTGCCCAGAATTCACAAAAGTGTCCATTTTTTTCCTGAATAGTTTTCATTCTTGGTTTGTACCCAGATCCATTCCCTCTCCTTTCTAGGTCTTCATGTAGAAGTAGTAGAGAGGTAAGGGACCTTAGAGATGGTTGAGTCCAGTCCTCTCATTTTACAGATGGGGAAACTGAGGCCTAGAGAGCTTAAGTGACTTAGCCAAGGTCACACAGCTAGTTAGCGTTGGAATGAAGCCAGGATGCCTTTTCCGGGCCCCTTTCCTCCCCACTGGTTATATGACCCACCCCATGGCCCAGCTTCTGAGGAGCCTTTCCTTAAATCACTCTGACACTCAGAGGCAGCCCTCACCCTTCTTTTGTTCCTCCTGTGCCTTTCTCCCCCATCCCCTCCATCCCCACTCACAGTGGTTGGTACTGTAGTCAGTGTGGCACACGCAGAGGTAACTCCCGCCATACTCCATGCAGTAACCGCCGTCAGGACATTGGGTGTTTACGTTGCACGGTGTGGCGGTGACTTCTGCAGGGACAAGGAAGAAGCCCGACCCCCCCAAGCCATGCACGTTTCTTTCTCTGGCTTTGGATTCACAGACCCAGATTCAAGTGGGAAGGCACGCCCCATGCCTAACCCAATTGAAACTAAGTCAGCACAGGCATATGTGAATCACGGATTCTCCATCACATGGTTTGCTTTCTGGTCTAGAAACAGATACAGGTGGTATATGCTAAACACAAAAGCTTCCTGCTCTCTTTACTTTGTCTCTGAGCCGGGTTGTTTAGATCCAAAGGAAAATCTGTGCATCCGTACCTGCCCGCATTTTTCTGGATGATGGTGTGGAAGTCAAAATGACTTGTGGTTTGTTTTTTGTTTGTGTTTTCAGAATCCAGTTAAACTCAACAAGAATTTGTTAAATGCCTGCTGTGTACAATACAACTGAGATCAGCCTCTCTGGTGATAGACTGTTTTTGCTTTAGACATTCTCCTTCCTTGGTACTCCTGCCCTGGTCACTTTGGAACCTTCCATATGGCTTGATTGTACCTTGGGAGTTCCACTGACCCATTCCTTGCTTGTAGCAACAAAGATGGTGGGCCAGTCAGATTCCTTTCAGTGAGAATGTGCTCCTCCCAGTAAAACCACGGCCCTCACCTTTACCATTGACTTGTCCGGGGCATCCCAGATTAGAAGTGAGAAAACACCCAGGCATCCTCCCCTGCTGGCTGTGAGCAGTCTGGCTACTGTGGATCTCTCTGTCTCTCTCTCTCTCTCTCTCTCTCTCCCTGTCTCTCCCCCCCTCCCTCTGCCACCCCCTTTTTAATTGTCATTGAGGAAACTGAAGGCCCAGGGACTTTAAATGACTGGCCCATCAACAGCTGTGTATGTTTAGGGACCAGGGAGTCCTGTCTTGCTGAAGAAGTGCTTTTCACTGAAGATGACCCAACAAGTGATGGTTGCTAAGTCAAGTTGGAGATGCACCCACGGGGGAGAAGCAGCAGCCCCTAGGGGGATGGAAGAGGTGCAGTGTGGGCAGGGCCAGTGGGCAGCCAGGAGCACTGCTGCATGGTCTTTGGACAGGGGCAGGGAGTTTTGTTGTGAGGGCAGCAAAAGGAGAGACGTTTTCCTCCTGTGGTCCCTACCAAATTCACAAAGGATTCCAAAATATCCTGGGGGGCAGTGGCAGAGGGTGAAATTTCCATCGAGGCATCTCCCCCCATTCCGGCACTCACAGTCTTCTGGGAGCTCTGGAACCGACCAAGAAACAAAGACACCTTGAGAAGAGGAAAAGTCCCAGAGACATGGAGATATTTGTAGCAGCATTTTTTGTGCTGGCAAAGACCTGGAAACAAGGTAGCTGCCATTGATTGGGGGAAGGGCTCGATTGACTACGGCAGAGGAATCTGATGGAATATCGGTGCCAGTAGGAAGTGATGAGTGGGATGGAACCTGAAAAGCCTGGGGAGATGTGCTGAGCCGATGCAGAACCGAGAAAGCCGAGTAAATAGTAACGACAACATTGGACGTGGAAATAGCAAAACCCACAAGAAAATCCAAAGGGAGAGATGCACAATTACAGAAACATCAAGCATGGCCCCAAAGAGGAGAAAGGAGAAAACACTTGCACCCACTGCTCTGCCATTGGGAGATCCATGGGCAGGCATCACTGCTTAGGGTTTCAGAATTTTTGATAGATTAATCAATTTTGCTGAATTGTCCTCTTTTTCTCTAAAAATATTTTTTTGTAGATGGGATAGCTTTCTGTGAGGGGGTTGGAGGAAGATCCTGGGAGATGTGGAAAATGAATGATATCAACAAAAATTCCAGAAAAAGAAGGAAGGAGCCAGAGTGTTAGGGTCCTGTCCTCCTGGTTGCCAGAATCCTGGGACTTCTGACCCAGGTGTGTCCAGGGGAACACAGAGTGCTCAGAAGGTGCTGTCGGGAAGCCTACTGTTGCCAAGTCTGTCTGAGACCTCAGGCAGCTTAAATCCAAATTAATTCATGAGACTTTTCCCAGGAGCCTGTACAGCACAGGGATACGTAGGCATAATCAAACTCCCCAGAACGATGTTGCTGTGAAGTCCCCTTGGCCCCTCCGACTTGCCCTCGTTCCATGGCCTAACAACCCAAAAGTCTGGGCTCTCCCTGGCTTTAAAATAAACTCTATCTATAGGCAGCATCAGAAGGTGAAAAAAAACCGGTGTTCTTTTCAGTTAGACGATAGCTGCCGCTTCCCTCCCTGGCTGCCCGGTTGTGGGAATGCCAAGTTTCTTTCTGAAAGACTTAACCACCTCCCTCTCATTTTTGTGTGTGGACAAGAGGGGAGCAAAGAGGGAAGAGATGAATGACTAGTGACGCCTTTGTCACGACCTGAGTGATTCTTTCCTTCCATCCCACTGTCTTCTCTGTCCCAACATGCACTCCCGTAAACACATTCATCCACACTCATAATGGTGGTGTACACACACACTGCCCTGTGGAAACACATGCCCACTCCATCGACCCTTCCCCATTGAAGAACTGGTGAGATGACTGTTGAGCAAACTGACCAGTGTCCTGGCAGTGGGAGCAAGTGGAGATTGGAATCGTTCACTCAGAATGACCCTGGCTATTTCTCAGTGTCTAACCAGACAGTCGCTCTGACTGCTGTGCCGCACCCCACAGAGGGTGTCAGGACCCAGGAGACTCTGGTTAGAACTAACATCATGCTTACTTTCTGCACAGTCGGAGCCTGTGTATCCATCTGGGCACTCGCAGAGGTAGCCCTGGTCTGTTTCCAGGCAGGTGCCCTCATTCTGGCATGGATTGGAGAGACAGGCACTTGGGATTCTGGGGCCTCCTGCAGGAAGACACCACAGTGAATCACAGGGGGATGGAGAGAGGGCTCGTGAAGGGAGAGGCTGGGATAATCTCATTAGTTTGCTTTTCATGGATGTATATTTTGTCTCCCCATCAGGACCACATTTTATGCTTCTCCCTGTACCCCAAAGTACTCAGCATAGTAGACCTTGAAGGTATCTTGTCTCTGCTTATTTCAGTCGTGCCTTGTTTGACAGCAGTTAAAGATCTAGCTTTGATAAGGCCTGAAATCAAAGATTTCAGGTTTGAATGGAGTTTAACTCAGCAAACACTTGTTAAACATCTGCTGTATTCAAGGCACTGGGTGAGGCTTTAGGGACACAGAAAAAAGTTGAAACAGTCTGTCTCAGAGAGCTTACATTCTACTGAAGGGGACCCATGGAAATAGGGAAGTAAATACACAAAGTGCACAAAACTACACAAGGTCATTTTGAGTGCTGACTTCCCTTTTATAGAAGATGGCTACTGGGCTGTGCTTTGAAAGGGGCTAGAGAGTCCAGGAAGCAGAGGCAATGAGGGGGTGCATAGAGGCGGGAGGACAAACAGGCCCATTGGACCAGAATGGAGAGTAGAGAGAGAGTAATGACAGCAACAGCTAACATTTATATAACGTTTAAAATTTTGCAAAGTGCTGAAAACATGTTATTTTACTTGGTCCTCATGACAGCTTTTGAAGTAGATGCTAGTACTATCCCTTATTTTACAAGTGGAGAAACTGAGGCAGATAGGACTTGTCCAGGATCACACAGCTACTAAGTATCTGAGGCAGACCGTGAACTTGGGTCTTCCTGACTGTAAGCCACCTAGCTCCCTAAATAAGCCTTGGAGAGAGAGCTTAGACATAGCCTTATCCAGTTCCTTCACTTGATGGATGAAGAAACTGAGGGCCAGAGGAAGGGACTGACATCACACAGAGGAGAAAAAGCAGATACGGGATTTGAATCCAGTTCCTTCCCTGATGCCATGCTGACCGTCCTCCTTCTTCCCATGTATCAAGGCTCAGGTTAAAGCCATCCGTTTTTTAGTAGGGTGGAGTCAAACTAGCAAGGGAGGCAAGCACGGGTTATGCCATGGTCAGTTCTATAGCTGTCTAGAAGTGGTGGCCAGCTCCAGGGTGACTGCCCCACCTTGGCTTGTGCTGTGTCACCTTGTAGCCATACTTTTAGAGGTTCCCTGGCCCAGGGAGGAGCTCTGCAGCATTTCATGCCAAGGGCGTGGACCAAGCTTGGCCATTCTGTTGTCTTCTCTCGGTGCCTCCCCGGGCTCTGAGATGCAGCTGCCTGACCAGCCAGGTAGAAACAGGCCTGTGGTGACATCTCCTCTCTGGTTCTGCCTCTTGGTCTCAGTGCTTAGTCACCAGCATTTCCCACCTGGGTCTCCCTATTCTCGGGCAGCTGTCATCAAGGATTATTATGTGATTGGCAGAAGGAACACTGGCTTTGGAACTCAAGTTCAAATCTCGCTTCTCATGTTCCACAGGCCTCAGTATCCCTATCTGTAAAACGAAGGGGTTGGGCCAGACGGCCTCTAAGATCTCTTCCAGGTCTGGATCTCGGATGCTCCGAGCTGTTCTAGTCTGACTGCCCTGGCTCATTTGTTCTCACTACCCTACGTGGACGCCATTAGGCATCCACTGACAGCGATTCTCAGTGACCTGGGGCGGCTGGGAAGATTTAATTCACTTCGGTCGGATTGGCTGTGCGCTGCAGAACTCTTAGAGAGGGAGACGTCGCCTAGGTCAAGGGCTCTTCACTCGGCGCCTGTGCATTTGGATGGGAGGAAGACGGCTTCTTCGTTTTCAGTGACGTCTAGCTGAGATCTAACATTTCTGAAAGGAATCATTCTGAGAAAGGGGTCCCTGGGCTTCCGCAGACTGCCAGTGGGGTTCCTGACACGGAATGGTTGAGAACCCCGACACCGGTTCTGAAATCTTCACGAATGAGTGAATGGCTGGGTCTGCCCCCGGGTGAGCATCACAAAACCCCTTATATTCTTGGTGCCTCATCTTCCCCATCTGATAGAAGTGAGTCGCTTGGCCTGCTCGTGCTGGGACGCGTTAAGATGGTTCAAGATTCTCCCTCTCTCTCTGACCACAGACGCCTTCTGCAGCTCCATTCCCTTATCTGGTGCTTCCCAACCACCTCCTAGGGCGTGAGGAGAGTGCTTTGCGACCTGCAGGGGGCTCCATAAGCCTGACCCTCGTGGTCTGGGGGTGAGCCTGGGGTCTTGATGTCTGGAGACTGACCGAGCTCAGGCCTGGAAAGGCTCCCCACCACGCTGGGCCCAGCAGCTTGGGAAGGTCTTCCAGGCCCTAGAGGAGCTGGGCTCTGTGGGGAAGATAGAGGAGAGGGCGCACTCTCAGAGTCGCCATCCTTTGAAATATTGCAGCGTCGGCTGTTACGGTGAGACTTTGTGCAGGGGGCTGGGGCTGGGACGGGGGCGGGGGGCAAGCCCCGCGCTGCTAAGGAGAAGACAGCTCCAAGGGCCTCAATCAGCCAGCCCCCTGTGTAGCGACAGGTCAAGGTCAGTGATGGTTCTCAGCGTATCGTTCCCATGGAGATGGCTCTGTTATGGTTTAAAAATAACTCCCATGTGCAGTGACCAAGGATGCTTTATCAGCAGTAGGAAGCAGGGAAGGAAGTCCATTGACTTGAAGTGGTCTCTTCACTTAATCTCCCTTTGATGAGTGCCACTGTCCAGATGAACTCAGCCGTGCCTCCCTACGTCCCAGACACCCTCGGCTCTCCCTTGATCTTCTCTCTTCGCCGGGACAAAAATGCTGCTGATCCTGCTTCCCAAGGCTCCCGCCAGACAACTCCCCTTGGCAGGCTCTAGTCCTTTAGCCGAGATCTTGCCAAAGACCAGAATATTTGTTGGAAGTGCCCAACCATTTCACAAGGCAGAGCCACGTCGTAAGGTGATAGTCAGTTATGACACAGTAGTAAGAGACTTCATATGGGACTCCAGGTTGTGGAATGTAGAGACGCTTTGGAATACAAGTGTAGACGTCTCTATTTACTTTGGCATTTCAGGGGATATGTGATACCATCAGTGCAGTTGCTCCCCTAAATGGAGCCAATGCAGCTCATCCCCGCCTTCTCATTCAGTATAATTCTTGGCCATACCTTCCAATAAATCCTCTGCATGGAGTCTACTCACATAGTGGGGGCATGTCTAGATGCCAGACGTGATGTGAGTACCAATGGAGCCTTCACGTGCTACTTGTCATCCCTTTGTCTTGCTGCACGACTGACTCATCTCCTTTTCCTGTCCTTCATTTCCTTGGTGGTATGTTTGGTGTCTTTTCTCCCATTCATCTCTTTGTTGTTGATAAGCCTTGGCCTTGTCACACCCACCATGAACCCCTCTACTGCCCTTTAGACGATGGTATTGAATGACCAGCAGTGCTATAGTGTCACTAAAAGAATGTTGGTGCTAAAAAGATGAGCAGGCCTTTGTTTTGGGGAGAACTTTGGGGAGTCAGCTTCCCCTCTTTCCTCTTGCTGTTTAATTTTGGGCTCAGTTCATTGTCCATCTGCAGTGCTTGTCCAAGATACATATACTCACGGACCACTTCTGTGGGCCTTCTGGCCAGCTGCCAAGCGTGGTTTGGACAACAGTCATTCTTCATCCCCTTGATTTTTTCCTGTATGGTTGATTAGACCAGAATATCGTAAGTGATTCTAGCTCTCGTTTAGGTGACCCTGCATTGTTGTGGGGCCTCATACAACCAGGATGATGCCATGTGCAACCAGGCTCATCCTGTCCATCCATAGGAGCCGTGGACTGCCCATCCGTAGGAAATCCCTGTTTGATTTTGGCTCCGAGCTGGGTATCTGCCATGACAGGGTGGTCATTCTATCTCAAAAGTAGCTTGTTGGAAGAGGTTCTTTAAAGCAATGCTTGTTCTCCTGAGTCAATTGCTTTTCTTTTTCTTAAATGGTAACCGTAGAGGACTCCCTTGTTCTCTGAACCTTTCAGTCAGCTGGAATGTGGTTTGCAAAATGCCTTCATCAAGGATTCCTTTTTGTGTGTGTGTAGGTTATTTTCATAAAGATATCCTCGAGTTGAGAAAATACACATGGGGTGGGTAGTTACCGATATTTTCCTCGTTGCCTTTTTGCAGTGGTCAGTGACCACATGGGGATTCTCCTTCCTCTTTCTGCCACTACTTGAAACTGACTTCTTGAGCCTCTCCGCTGCATGGCTGTGGCTTGCTGTATACACGCCTCTGTTCTTCATTCTCTTTGGAAAGCACGTGGGCAGTCAGAAGTTGCCCGGGTAGATGGACGCTCCTTTTTCCCAATGAGCCATTCTACTCTGCCTTCTAACCCCCACGCCACACCAGGTGGCGGTCCGTGTGGGTGTCGTGAGGCAGGGAGATGGGCCACCCCAGCTGCTTACCATACTGACAGTTGTTCCCATAGTAGCCAGGAGAACACGTGCAGATGTAGCGCCCTGGGCGGATGTAGTTGCAAGTCTGCCTGTCCCTGCAGCTCCGGTCTTCACAGGATGACTGATCTAGACAGAATGGAAAAGCAGAGCCAGGCAGCATCAGCAGAGCGTAAGGGCACCGGAGGCAGGCCTGGGCTCAGGTGGAAGAAGGTAAGGAATCGGCAGAGCCAGCGGAAGAGCGAAACAAGATGAACTGAGGGGCAGAGATGTGACGGGGGCAGTGGCTGCGCACAGAGGGATCGGTCAGTCACACGTGGAGGGAGGCTCCTTACCTAACTCACAGCGAGGGCCGAGGAAGGGCTCTGAACACAGGCAGGTGTAGTTAGCCACCAGATCCACACATCTCCCCCCATTCATGCACGGGTCAGAGTCACACTCGTTTATATCTGTGGGGGAGGAATCACAGATGACATGAGTGAGTTGGTCTTCTGGTGGGGGGCCAGTAGGGCGGGTAGGATCACACTCGTTTGTCAGATGAGGAAACTAAAACTCAGAGAGTAAGTGACTTGCCCAGAGTCACACAGCGAGCAGATGTTGGAAATGGAATTTGAATCCAGAATTCCATACCAGCACTCTCCTCGATGCCACTCTGTTCCTTGTAAAAATTGCCTGTCTGGCTTCTTACCGATTTCACAGTTTTCTCCTGTGTACCCTGACTGGCACATGCACTCTGCAGTCCCATTTCCAGCCTGGCATTCTCCACCATTCTGACAGTCCTTGGTGTCACATGGGGATTCCACTGAACAAGGGAGACATAAACACAGTAGTTACATGACATCCCTTTTCAATTAGATGAAAAGATTTCTAATAGACAGAAATACAAATCTGGAACTTGGGCGCAAGGTCAGGATTGGAGAGAGATATTTGGGAATCATCTCTGTAGAGGAAATTATCAAGAGAGAATGTAGAGAGAGAAGGGGGGTTGAGTTGGGCTTCAGGCTCTGTGGGGAGAGTGATAGAGTTGGAGTCAGGAACACTTGAGTTTAAATTCTGCTTCAGACACCTATTCACGTTATGACCCTGGACAAGTTAGTTCCCTTTGGTCCACCTCAGATTCCTCATCTGTAAAATGGCAATAATAATAGTGCCTACCTACAGGGTTGTTGTGAGGTTTACATGAGATAATATGTTTCAAAAATTCAGTATATTTTATTTTCCCTCTCAATTACATGTTAAAGTAATTTTTAAACAATTACTGTTTTTTTAATTTAGAGTTCCAAATTCTATCCCTCCCTCCCTCCCCCCCCCCCCCCCAACCATAAGCAATCAGATATAGATTATACATATGTAATAAATGAGATATTTGTAAAGAGCTTTGCAGACCTTAAAGCATGCTATAAATGCTAACTATTATTGTTTTTATTATTAACATAATTATTCTCTGAGATAGTAGGGAAACTGCACAGCTGCCATTTCTATCACACTTTAAAGTTTGCAAAGGGTTTTTACATGCATTATCCAATTTGAGCCTCACAAGAACACTGTGAAGCCAGAAGTGCTTGTCAAACCCACTCTACCTGTGAAGAAACAGCCTAAGTGACTCATACAGACAGCTAGTAAGTGTTGGAGGCAGGATTCAAACCCAAGGCTCTTTTACTACAAGCCCAGTGCACATTCTCAAAGAAGGAGGATTAGGATTGTTCAGCCTGGCCCCAAAGGGCAGAACTGGGTGCAGGGGGTGCAGCTGAGGCAAAGGGAGGCTTGATGTAAGGGAATTAGAGGTATTCCAGAGGACAGTGGGCTGGGGGCTGAGGGTACTGCCATGGGCTTGTAGGGGGAGTCTTTTGTTCTGTGTGGGACTGATGGCCCCGAGGTTTCTTCCCGCTCTGAGGTTCTGTGATCTGCCCACGGTAAGATAGGACAAATGGCCTCATGAGAAAGAAGTCCATGATTTTCTGGGACTACAGTCAAGCCAGAGTCAAGCAGAGACCCTGTGAGATTCCCAAGGCTAACTTTTTTTTTGGGGGGGGGTAGGGTGAGGCATTGGGGTTAAGTCACTTGCCCAGGGTCACACAGCTAGTAAATGTCAAGTATCTGAGGTTAGATTTGAACTCCAGTCCTCCTGACTCCAAGGCCGGAGCTCTATGTACTGCGCTACCTAGCTGCCCCCCAAAGCCAACTTTGTAAAGAGCCTGGAAAGAGGGCTGGGCTTAGATTTCAGTCTCAGTACCCGTGTCATCTTCAGTAGTTGTGTGGCCTCAGCGTTCCTTCCCTTCCCAGCTTTGAAAGCATCAGTGTCTTTTGTGCAAAGGGGATTGACAACAAGGAGCCCGTGGCCCAGGGTGTGGCCGTCATTGCTTCTAACAAGCAGCCCTCCGGGCATGGTCTGTCTTCTTTGGTAGTGGCCTCCCACCCTTATGCAGAACCCGTGCCCCTGACCCCTCTCCCTGACCAGGATTCTCGGTTTCCATCTGTCCCTCTGGATCTTGGAGCCTGGTTCCTGACCCCGGCCTCTGGTTTGTAGTGCACCAGCTCCCCAAGGGAGGCTTTTCCTTAGCTTTGATGATTGCGTGCTGACAGACAGGCCTGTCCCTGAGAAGCCGAATTGTTCTGAACCATGGGATGTGTTCCACCGTCCATCTGCTCTTGGCAGACTCTCTGCCATATGGTGCAGACAATCCAGGTCTGACTTTCTGTGGGAGATGGAGAGTCCAAAACGAAGCTTCCCTCTGGGCAGGTGGTGTCATCTGAGTAGGATTAATGGATGACAGAGGCCCCGGGGGGGGGGGGGGCTACGGGAGCATAGATCAGAAGATTGGAGAAGCAAAGACTTAGAGCCAGGAGGAAGCTCAGAGGTCATCTCGTCCAGCCTCCTCATTTTATAGATGAGGAAACCGAGGCCTGGAGAGGGGGAAGAAACCTGGCAAGCAGTGGCCAGATAGGGTGTCCCGCCCCGGCGGGGGTCCAGGCTGCCTCCAGTGTCCTGGGGCTAGGAGGAAGGACAGCTTCAGGGTCAGCCATGGGCACTGGGCAGAAGGGCGCACGAGTCGGGAGTGCGGACTCAAGGGATGCATCTTTTTTCACAAGTGAGGGTTCCCATGTGGTGGCTGTGCTCCTTTTGGTTTCTTGCAGAGGGGACCCCGTTGAATCTGGCAGAGATGCTGAGGAGCAGATGACAAGAACAGTCTCTCTTTTGGGGCTTACTCCTCCAGTCCATTCAAGAACCATGTGGGGAGATTGATGTGATTCGAAAGGCAGTTTGAAAGGATGTGACTGGGCCACGGCTCTTGGTGTTTCCGGCAAGGAAACGGATCGACCCCAGAGGGCAGGGGGGTGTCTTTTCCCCTCTAGAGGAGGCAACCCTTCCTGGACCTGCAGAGGGCTGTGGGTGGCCACGGGAGGTCTCCAGAGGGTCTTAACCAGGACTGAGAGCATCTTTTGTTGGTGGTTTGAACCCTTGGAGGTCTCAGAGAGGATATCCATCTCTGCCTGCGGTGGCTTCATGGCAACACTTGTATGCATCCCTGGAGGAGAATTGATCTGCCCAGGCCTCTGGGGCTCTCTCTGGTCATCTGTGAGTTGGGGTTCCAGTGTGGGAATGGATGCCTTTACCCAGAGGGGGAGGTATCCCCCTGAGGAGCAGGAAGCCTCCTGGGATGGAGGGTGGGCAGGTGCCTCTTTCTGCTGAGGCTGCATTTGTAAGAGACCGGCATGTTCACAAAGCAAGACACTGACCAAGCACTTAGGAAATCTGGGCTCTGCCATGGAATCATCATTTTGCTCTCTACCTTGCCCGTCAACTCTCTGTGCCTCAGTTTCCTCATCTGTGAAGTGGGGATCATGGTCACTGTCTCCTCTAACTCAGAGGGCTACCAGAAGGATGATGTTTAAAACGTGAACAAAAGAGGAAACTGAACAGGTCCCTAGAGCAGAGGCTACTGGAGTGAAGCCTGGACCCCATGGGGCCGAGCCAGGAATCCATCCATCTGTGTCCTAATTACAGAGCAGAGATAGGTAGAAGTGCAAAGGGACCGAATTGGGTTTGATGTCCGGAAAAGCTTGCAACTCTGCAAACTGTCCAGGAGGAGCATGAGCTGCCTCGAGGGGTGCCGGGTGCCGTCTTTGGGGGTCTTCACTTGTCCGGGTGCTTCAGAGGGATTCCTCCCCGGGTCACATCAGACTGGTTGAGCTCTGAGGTTCTTTCTACTGCTGCACAGAATCTGCAGCGAGCTGCCTGGCATCTGGACAGCCCTGTGACTCTCGTCTCTGATTCCGGAGGGATGTCTGAAACCTGAAGGGGCAGGGATTCTGGCAGGTTTTCTTTTGGGTGGTGTGTCTTACCTGTCCCACAGGTGGGCCCTTTGAAGCCTGGGGGGGCATTGGCAACGGAAACTGTTTACACCGTGTGTACAGGTCCCTCCATTCTGACATGGACGGGAGGCACACTCATTCACATCTGAAAGACAGAACATGAAGCCGCACGTGAAGAAAACCAAATCAGCCCAAATCGGAGCTTACAGAATGGTCCGAGTAGGGATGCTTTTCTTGAAGACTATCCAAGTTGCCTCCACCTTAGCAGAGGGCATTCCCTACACCACCGGTATCCTGGGTCTGGGCTGTTTATCACAGCAGCATTACCTCAAAGAGCATCAGCGCGTGGTGCCGTTCTCCCCGAGAAACACTCACCCAGGTGGCATTTCTTCCCTGTGAAGCCTGCAAGGCAGGAGCAGGTGTAGGAGGGGTTCCCAGTAATGCAGTCATCAATACACTTCCCTCCATTCAGACAGGGACGGAGGGTCAGACACACAGAAGCTGCCAACACAAAACAGGAAAACTTTTCACTCTCAGAATAATGTACTCGGGAATTTTCTTCTAATATTCAGGTGAGATACTCAGACTGTAACAGGTCTCCCCCTTTATTCTTTGATTCACTCATTAATTAGTTAAAACAATAGGGCTCGGGACTGGACCTGTGATTTCATTGGCAAGTGGAACCTTTTCACCACTTCACAGTCTTAGAGAATCGTCCAGAACATCGTAAGTTTAAGTGACTTGCCCCGTGTTACACAGCCGGTACTTGAACCATGGTAAGAAGGACATTAAAAAGTGTCCCTCATTGTATCCCCCATGAGCCGTGCCTTAGGTCTGCTCAAGTCTTCCTGACTCCAAGGCCAGCTTTTTATCCACCAGCTTATCCTAGATCACACTGCCTGACATACAGTAGGCACTTTATAAATTCTAGTTGACTGACTGAATTTGCCAGCTGCCTCTAATATGATAATAGCAATAATAATAATGATAATGATAGCTCACACTTATTTAAATGCTTTAAGGTTTGCAAAGACTTTACATACATTATTTCATTTATTTAAAAATAATTATTCACTAAGTACCTACATTGTATAAAGTACCATCCTAGGCACAGGGGAGGAGTATGAAGATGTAAACACAGTCAGTCTCTGAATAAAATAAGGTAACAGAGGCGTATGCATTCTCACAGGTCTTGGATATTAGGAAATTAGGATATTTTGTATTGGAAAATTTTCTAGTGATTGGATGGAAAAGGGCCCACTCTTCTGATATCAGTGAAAGGGCCTGCTAAGTCATGGATGGTCCTGAGCACCATTCCAAGTCCAT